AAGAGATCCCTTCCCCTCCATGGAGCTGCCTCAGGCACAAAGCGCGTGGCTGTTCTGCTCACAGCACACGCTTTGGGAAGCCGCGAACCGTCAGGTCACAAACCTTCCCTCCCTTCCCGCGGGCCTGACAAGCAATGAAAGCATTACTGAGGATGACATTTCAGGGATTGACTTCAACATCTAAATCAGCAACGAGCGGGGCAACCGACAGCTCAGTTGTTTCAGACCCTTTGCCGTCTCAGGAAGACATCTATTTTAGCTTAGGTAGCTCTGCACTGGGGTTTCTGGAAGTCTGTCAATTTTAACGGCTGGAGATAACAAAATAGTGAAAAAGGGGATACCGAACATTTCACAGGAGGGACATCCGCATTCCTCCAGCCTCTGGCAGGTTTCACCAGGAACCACAAAGTGTGGCAGACACTTCAGTATCAATCCTACACCACTACCCACCTGCAAGTCCAGCCGCACAGAGCCAGGACGCAGGCAGGAACGTGCACTTGCAGGATTTCCGTGGCAAACTTCATCGGTGGCTTCTCTCCCTCCGTTTTGTGCTCTAGTTCCTCCCCGATCAGCTGGAGGAGCAGACTGATCTTCTCCTCCGTCAGGGACTGTGGGGCAGAGAAAGGTGGCAGAGCTGGCAGGCAGAGGCAGTCTGATAAAATACACTGCTTCTACTCACAAACCGCGTGCTACATGGAGGAAAAAAAAACCCTTTTTCACTCCCTGAAAGGGCTGGGTGCGTGAGCTAGCACCCTCGGCACTTCTACTCTGGTTAACAGGCAAAAGCCACACAGAGCGATGGCTTCCTCCTGCCGTGTGCCCGTCTGACTCCACCCATTGCGTGGACTCGGTTCAAGCACCATTTGCTCCCCCGAGCACGCGTGGGGACAGCGGAGCAGGTCACAGCTCTGCCGCTCAAAGCAAGCGCGAGCCCAAACAGCCCCCGTCTGTCCCTCTGATCCCAGGGAGGCAGCAGGGTCTGCGTTTGCCTGCGCTCAGGCAAACCGCGAGCACTTCTGGGGCCATTGCTGAGGCACAGAGAGAAAAGAGAGTCCCCGGAGGCCGTCAGTCGGGCTCCAGACCTCGCTGCTAGTGGGACAGCTGGGGAGTTAGATGTGGAGATGCGACACATCCGTTGGCTTTATGCAGTCTCTTCTTCGGGGGCTCTGCTGGGTTTCACAGCTCAGCCAGCCCACGGTGGCAAACGTAAAACACCTCTGCGATTTCTGCTGAATGGATGAAGAGTTCCCCGGTTCCCACACAGCTTCTCGCTGCCGAGAGCCATCTGTTTCCCAGCGAGCGAGTGCCCAACAAGCCAGACTTGGCTGGAGTAGAGCAGGGCCTGGCCAGGTCCCTACGAGGAGGCAATCCCACACTTGCTCCTGGCTGCAGCTCTGCTCCAGGCTC